TTCCTCAGTATATATCTTCAGTGCCATGGTACGCTGATCCATCAAAAAGACGTACTTTAAAACATCAGAGACCACACCAGAGAAACGGAAGCAGTAGAGCTCATCTGGAGAATGGTACAAGAGGGGTGTAAAAGAGAATTCCATAGCTACCAAATATTGCAAGGGAGCATGTGAAAATTGTGGGGCCATGCCACCCATGAACACCTCCTCTGGCTCCTGAACGACCATGATCCCAGAGGCACACAAACCAATCTCAGAACCCAGTGGCTTTTGGCAGTAATCCCTCCAGACTTATTACTAGAATATCAGAAATCCAAAATTGCGTGGCTACAATAGGGGCCGCGTGACATCATATGCTCTTCATAATCAGCAATAGAAAATAAGTTATCTAAAAAAGAAAAAATAAACAAAATTGTGGGTCCATGACACACTCCAAAAATACTGCTTTGAGAGATCAAGGTGAATTGGAGCACTTTTTTTTCTTTTTGGGTCATACCCAGTGATGCTCAGGGATTACTCCTGGCTCTGCACTCAGGAATTACTCCTGGCAGTGCTCGGGGGACCATATGGGATCCTGGGAATTGAACACAGGTCGGTCGCATGCAAGGTAAACACCCTACTTGCTGTACTATTGCTCCAGCCCAATTGGAGCAAGATTTACAGGTACTAATGTAGCTCCAGATGAACATGTTTAGCCTCAGCTGATGTTTGATTACGATGCAAAGTGGGATCAGTGGAAAGGCTACAATCCAGAGGAACACATGAAAATTGTGAAAGAATATGCCAAAGTGGATCTGTCAAAGAAAACACTGAAAGCTCAGAAACTCCAAGAAGAATTAGCCTCAGGAAAATTAGTGGAGTCGGGTAATTCTCCAAAACACCAGTGTGGAGAAGAGGAATCAACTTCTCAGGCAGAGAAGGATCATAATAGTGAAGATGAAGATGAAGATAAATACACAGATGACACTAACATGCCTGGACAGAACTTTGATTCCAAGAGATGGATCACTGCCCATAGTCTTAGGATTCGAGAAATATTGCAAAAATATCTGTGGAATTTAGATCCAAATTCTGCCTACTATGATCACAAAACCAGAGCAATGAGAGAGAGTCCCAATGAGAGAGAATGCCAACAAAGGAAAGAATCCAGATGAAGTGAGCTTTGTGGGTGATAACTTTGCTAGATACACAGGCAATACCATTTTGATAGCTCAGACACAGTTGTTTGCTTGGAAAGCCTATGACAAAGGATCAGAAGTGCATCTACAAGCTGATCCTGTGAAACTCAATATGTCCCTCAAAGTCAAAAGAGAAAACTTCAAAGAACAGCAGAAAGAAAGCATCTTAGAAAAGTTTGGTGGCCAAGAACACCTGGATGCCCCTCCAGCTGAACTGCTCTTAGCTCAAACCGAAAACTCTGTAGAATACTCAAGACATAGGATAGTCATCAAAGGGCAGGAACAGGCTGTCTTTTGCTCCAAATATGAGAAGGATGTGAAGATCCACGATCACACTCATATTTGGGGATCTTACTGGAAAGATGGTCAATGGGGATACAAGTGTTGTCACTCCTTTTTCGAGTATTCCTACTGTACTGGAGAGGCTGGAATGGAAGTTTGCCAAAACAGAGGAATGTATTCTAAATACAGCTGGAGAAAATCAGTGAAAAAGCCTCAAATCCTTATGGAGATACATCAGAAAAGACTGAAAGAAGAGAAAAAGAAGAAGTACCTAAAGAGCAGCTCAAATAGTGATGATGAAGAAAAGAAATACAAAAAATTGGAGAAGGCACTGAATACAGAGAAGGCCTACCTTCTTCATGTCAGGGAGATCATGCAGATTGATGAAAGGAAGCAATGGTACAATATTATCTATTAAACCCCGGAATCCACAGAGGAAGAAATAGAGACTTATAGAATAAAATGTCAGAGGCAGACGACCTTATGGCCCCCTTCCTAGGACAGTAGTGACTAGTCACAGATGTCACCCCAGATACACAGTGGTGGTACTCTTCTCAGCTGCTTGCTGAAGATGGTAGATGGCAAAAATCATGTCTGCTCTTCACGCTGCCTGACTTAATAAAACTTCCAGAAGTTGCATAGCAAATTCATTCCTCTCCACATTATCAAAACAAAGTAAAAAAAAGAGGAGGTACATTAAGATTGTGTATGTTGTTGGGGGGAGGGTCTGGAGAGAAACTGGGGACATTGGTGGTGGGAGATGTACACTAGTTAAGTGATGGGTGTTGGTTAGAACATTATATGACTGACCACCCCCCCCCAAATATTGTGTGTATGTGTGGTACATATACATACAGCTGGAGAAGAATCAGTAAAAAGGCCAGAATATGGAGATATATTAGGAAAAACTAAAAGAAGAGAAAAAGAAGAAGAAGCACTGAATGAGCAACTCAGGTAGTGATCAGAATTAAACCCAGGGTCTCACATGTATGAGGCAAGTTCTCTCCTACTGAGCCACATCTCTGACTAGCTTAGATAATATTTCATTTCCAGCTTTATATTAGTTATGTAAAAGACTCTTGCTCTACCTACTAAGAATACCTTCTCAGCATTTATTAAGTCTCAGACTATGCCCTTAATTTTTATGTAGCCTTTTAGTGTTATCATACATTTTGAAGGAGGATTATTTTTTTTCAATTGGGGCTTTTTTTGAAAAAAAAAACATAACTAATAACTATAATTAGAGTTATCTGACAGTCATTTGTTATTTTGCCTTCTAGGCTTTTTCTGATCTGAAGCTAAAAACAAATTATTCTGTCTTGAGTTTTGGGTCATTGAAAGGAAATTTGTAGGACATGTGAATAATTTTATCCTCTTGTGATCATCTTGTGTATAATAATTCTGTTTTCTACTTAGTTATAAAATTTTTATTTTTAAAGTAATTCCTTGTACTTCACACTGACAACTGAATGTGTTAGCTTTTAAATGGAAAATATCACTACATTGTCATCCTGGAGTCAGTGCTCACCGATCAGTACGTGGTCTTTGACCATCTGGACGTGAGCCTCTGGACAGAGAAATCCTGTCCTTTATCAGGAAGGATACAGTTTATCGTGCTCTTTGTTCAGAATAATAACTGTTTGACCAGAGAGATAAGCTGAAGTACTGGCGTGCATGCCTGGCACAGTTCTCAGCCACCCTAGCACCACTGGGATACCCTCTCCCCCCCCCCAAAAAAATGGTAATTGCCCATATATAATAATTGTGAATATTAAACTAGTTTTTTAAAAAGATTACAAAAAAAACATTCCTGGAACAACATGTGCTTAACAAACCCCAGCATTCATCAAAATACAAAGTGTCAGTGCTTTGAGACCAGAGGGATGGTATAACTGGCAGGACACTTGCTTTGCATGAGATTGACTACGTTCCATCCCTAGTACCCCATAAGGTCCCCCAAGCTCCACCAGGAGTTATCTCTGATTACAGAGCCAGGAGTAACCCCTGAATACTGCCAGGTGTGCCCCCAAACTGAAAACAAATAAAGAAAAGTTTTCAGCATTCTGAACTAACCAGATGTCAGAATCAGAAGAGACAGGGCTATTAAATTAATTAATTAATTAATTAGTATACAGGAACATATATACATATACTTAAGATATACTATAGTTGCACTTTAGAATCTTTTTAAACAGGCAATAAAATATGTAACAGAATTTGAATATTTCCCAAACATGTCTAATCCAGTATGATGCTCATTGTTTTTCATCATTGGAACAAAGTCCACTTTCCTGGGCTTGAAAGTAACTTCCTTTACAACGAGCTTTAACCCAGTTTGCCATGTGTATTTTCTAGCCTGTCTTCTCTGACCAATAGCAGACTATTGCACTTCTCTCCAACACTTTCTTTCCTGCACACACTTGTTCCTGTTGGTCCTTTGTTCCTCTGGAGAGGCCCAGCCTCTCCAGAGAGTGAAGGAAGAACAGTTATGTGCAGTTCCAGTCTTCTCTGCTTTCAAAAAAGCAATAAAGGGGTCAAAGAGATAGGAAAGCAGATAAGGCAATTGCCATGCATGTGGCTGACCCATATTTAGTCCTTGGTAACACACATGGTCAGTCCCCTGAGAACTGCCAGGAGTGATCCATGATCCTCAGCCAGGGATATCCTCCCTAGAAGTCCAGTCATCATGGGCTGGAGAGAGAGTTATAACTACTAAGGCACTTGTCTTGCATGCAGTCAACCCAGGTTCAATCTCCAGCACCACACCACATCCTCCAAGCCTGCTAGAGTGATCCATGAGCACCGAGCAAGGAGTAAACTCTGAGTCTATAGCCCAGGTATGGTCCAACCATCCCTGCAAAACCAAAAAATAAAAAAACAAAAACAGAAAAAAAAAACACTGAAAAACCCAAACAATCATCTTTCAAAATTTTATGGACATTTTTCTGGGTATTCCTTAGCACATTTAGAAGACGAGTTGTCATAATTATCTGTTTACAACTCATTTTTGACCCTTGTTAGTTTATGTCTTCTTGTTTCTTCGTATTTTTCACCCTCTTCAACAACTTAACATGATGTTGTAAGTAAGGCTTACTGATAAGTTTGAATTGAATTGAATTGAATTGAATTGAATTGAATGCACTTGGCAGTAATTCAGTAAGGTGAGTAGGCCATGAGTCAGTATATATTATTGGTAAATAATTCTGGCTATGCTTTGCCATTTTTTCTACTGATAAGTATTTCAGCAGTTATAAAAAGTATTTTGTGGGAAAAAAATGGTCACAGTCCTCCCGTTGTTCATCAATTTGCTTGAGTGGGCCCAGTAACATCTCCATTGTGAGACTTGTTGTTACTGTGTTTGGCATATTGAATATATCACGGGTAGCTTGCCAGGCTTTGCCATGCGGGCGAGATACTCTCGGTAGCTTACTGGGCTCTCTGAGAAGGGCGGAGGAATCGAACCCGGCTCGGCCGGTCCAGCTGCACACAAGGCAAATGCACTACCGCTAGATGATTGCTTTTCTCTTTTCCTCCTTCCAGGGGAATCTTTGTTTACAGTGTCAGGAGTGAGTCTCAAGCCAGAAATGTGTGACCTTTTGGCCTCCTACCAGAAGGGTCACCATCCAACCCGGTTTAGCAAATGTTGGTGACAAGAAAGGGCAAGATCACCAAGATCCTTCCAGGTAAGTGGCCCCCAACTGTGAGACTCTTCACTAAATAAAGAGAAACGCAGTTGGTGCAAGATGGAGGGGACTGTTCCCTGACTAAGGGTCCCTCTTTGTCTCTTCATTTCCACACTTGGGACAGGCAGCCCAACCTTTCCAGACTGTGAAGGGAGAACAGTGATGTACATTTCCAGTCTCCTCTACTTTCAAAAAAAAGCAATAAAGGGGCCAAAGAGATAGGCCAGCAGGAAAGATACTTGACATGCCCATGGCTAACCCACATTCAGTCCTTGACAGTACATATGATCAGTACCCTGAGCACTGTCAGAAGTGATCCCTGAGCACAGAGCCAGGAAGATGTGACCCCAATACCCCCCTCAAAAAACTAGTGATAAAGAACTTTCAGGTCATTGTGAGACCCACAATTGACAGCTGTGGAAAAAAGGATTATAATGGACATGTTGAATTTCCCTAGCCATATCATTCTCTCAGTCAGCAAATAGAGTCAGAGGTCACAGTGACAAACCATTCTAGAACTTTTGTTAAGAATAAGGCCAGTTGTGCTAGAATGGACAGCCAGGTGTGCTAAAATGGACAGTCCCACATATTTCAGGACAATCAGACACTTGAGTGCTACAAAGGACTACCTGGTCTACATGCAGGTGCCAGAGAAATCCTGGCTCATCTTCAACACTATACAGAAAATCATTCTAAAGACCCATGAGAATCCAATTATTGAAGTCACCAGCTTCTTAGGCTGAAACTTCTGCACAGCAAGTTCCTTATTCCACCTGACTGCTTGGGATACAAGAGCCTGATGGAGAAGCGAGAGCCATTCACAAATATCACAGATAAAACTGTTCTCCAGAATCCCCATAGTTAGAACAGCCCAGCCTTCTAGAGCAGTCTTCTAGGAAGAGGAAGGGGTGCCATATAGCATTCCCCAAATGCCATTCTATCCTAAAAGCAGTTCTTCACAGGAAAACAAGTGGCCACTACAACAGCCAGCATAACACAGACCCCACTAGATGTTATAAGAAAACCTCCCATGGACCTTTGCTTCTTGGGTCAAAGGGATAGTAGTCTAAATAGAGGAATGAAGGTGGAACCTATCCCCCCAGTCAATCAGATCACCACAGGTGACCTGTCTATAACTAAACCATAAGAACTAGACTATATTTTGGCCTCCCATTTAGCAGCTATGGATTGGTTGTGCTTCCTAATAGAACCTGGGGCCCTAAATGACAACTGCTAGCCCTTGGATGTTACATCCCCACACTAGCACCTCCCACACTATCATTCTCATTAGTTGCTTTCCTTTAATGGTGCCTGCATTCTGGATCTCCAAAGAACACTGTACTTAGAAATTCGGTGTGATAGGGGGAGTTTAGAATTAAAGATGTTCCTTATATTTTATTAAACCCCCCAGTCTGTATTTTGGCAATATAAAATTGGAATTAGAATTGGCTGAAACTATTTCCCAAAGAAAATATTTTCTAGAGTAAGAGATTTTACCATATAATTATGCCATCTTAAACACAATACTTAGAAGAAAAGGATATACTTTAGTTATATCCTATATAGGGATTTGTTCTTTAAAGACAATGATGAAGATTGTCTCAGGTGGTGGTACTCATCTATTTTTTTGTTATATATATGTGTCATATATAGGGCGTTCGCCTTACAAGTGGCCAACATGGCCGACCCGAGTTCGATTCCTCTGCTCCTCTCGGAGAGCCCGGCAAGGTACCGAGAGTATTCGGTATGCCAGACACAGTAACAACAAAGTCTCCAATGGAGACGTTACTGGGCCCGCTCGAGCAAATCGACGATCAACGGGAGGGCCTTTACCTTTACCTTTATATATGTTTTATATATATACATATATGTATATATTTTTTACTAAGCAGTCAGAAGGAGTTGGGAGATAGTCTTGCCTGTCTACCAGCCCCTCCTCAATAATTATTTACTGTAGATATAAACTGGTCATATTGGAAACTCCTTTAAATGTATCATGTCTAATTTGGTACCTTTGTCAGTATTTGGAGATAGGAGGAAGCAGATTTAGATTCTCTGGGCATAATCTCAGGCTGTCTTTAGGCCCTTAGTGCTAAAGTAAGAGGATAAAGCCCATGGGAGATGAAGCACAATGAGGAGGAGCTGAAAAATTTTAACTGTTTAATACAGGCTTGGGATTGGCAAAATCTTCAAGCACTAGAGTTAGAAAGGGAAAGTGGCAATAATTTGGGCACTTGAGGCCTGTAAATCTTTTCCACTAAATTCACGTTTTAGGAGATTGAAAATGTATGTTGGGATATCAAAGCTGGTAATTGATAGCAACACCTCAAAATTAAGATGCTAAAAATCCTCAAAAAAGGCTGTGTGTGTGTGTGTCTGTGTGTGTCTGTGTGTGTGTGTGTACTGGTTCAGGTACTTTATACTGATTAACTCAAAGCTCACTGTGTGACAGTATGTGGTGAGTTATACCTACATACGGACAGACAGATATTGATTGTTTTTAGACCTTTTTAATTATTAAAAGGAATAAGATGTCCATCTGTTATACTTCATTATTCCTTTTTTATCAATCTATATTATTATATGAATAACTTGACAATAATATTTAGCAGGTTTCCTTTATATCATCTATAATTGTTCTTTATTATTTTGACTTTTTTTTTCTTTCACTTCAGGGCTATTTCAATTTTGCCTTTGCTCCAGCTTATTAAGAAGCTTCAAAATCTAACTCCATGTTGGACCAGAGACTTTATACCATCAGCTATAACCTAAAATATTTTAAATATTAAAATACAATGATTAAGGCAGTGGAATAATGCTTTAAAAAAAAAAGAAGTAGGGTGTGGGAGATAACACAACAGGCTTTGCATGTGGGAGGCCCAGGGTTAATCCCTGGCACCAAGTGCCCTCTGCCACACACACACACACACACACACACACACACACACACCCCTCAATTACTGCCAGGAGTAATTTCTAGCATCAAGCTGGAAGTAGCCCCTAAGCACTGTTGAGTGTGCCCCCACAAAAAAAATTAAAAAGAAAGAAAAGTTATTCCTAATGTCATTTGCCTAGAGTTTGATAGTGATTAACTAAAAAATTAGATAAAACTGAAATAATCTAAGAAGAGGACTTCCCCAAAATGCAGTTATTTGATAGGGAGATTCCCTAGATCAGAAGGAGGATTTCCTGATAGGACAGATAGGGAGATTGACAATTGAAAGAACTTGGAGACAGAGCTGATACTTCTAGAAGTCTGTCGTTCCTGTGCTTACAATTCTCCCAACAAAAGGGCTTCTGTGGCAAGTAGTGGATTAGTCTAAAGTTTAGAAAGGTTTCCAGGGAGTATGGTTTCTTGGATAAAGTTGTCAATGAAAGGGCTTGCTTGAGACTCTTTGTTGTGATTTCCTAGGGGTTGCTTCTTCCTTCAGAAACTGGATTATCAAAACACAGTACCACCCCAATCAAAGTTTTGGAGTTTGAAACCAAAGTAGTTGTTAACATGAAATTCCTGACTTTCTCCTTCTACTAAATACTAATTGTTTGTGATGATGGGAAAAGTAACGTGGAATCTAAACTTTGATTTAATGTTGGAGATATTGAGTAGAAAGAAGCAAAAAGTCTCAGAGATGCTATTCAAGCCCTCTTGCACCGTCTGACATATGTGACTATGCACACACACGGCCCTCAAATAAAATGGTAGATTTGTCTTCGCAACACATGCAGTTTTCTACAATAACTTCTGAAGGAAGCTAAGGAAACTCAAATTACTTCTGTATAAGGATCATCTACTCAGGAAATGTGGTAGCCTAGAAACCATGATCTCTATATATCCTGTCGAAGAATAAGGAGGAACTAATTAAGAAAGAATTTAAAAATAGTAATTATCCACCCAAAGTCTGAAATGAAAGAAGGAAAAGTACTTACAGATAGTTCAAAGAAACCTACCTTAGTGAGCATTTGATTTGAGTAAGGCAATTGGCAAAACCTGCTCAAAGAAGTTTCCTGGCCCTTCTGTGGTAGAAGTTAAGGTGAATTTCAAGTTTGCAGTCTTCAGCATCTCTTACCAGTTCATTAATCATATACCTCTCAAATATGTTGAAAATACAACTTTCAGCTGATACATAGCATTGGATCATGGGAAAGACCTTGCCAAATCCTACAAAGAAACAGCATTACATTCTATTGATCATAGGGAGCATACAGGAACTTTCCTCACTGGCGGAATAACAAAATGGTACACCTATTTTAGAATAGGGTTTAGTCATTTCTTATAAAACCAAGTAGACTCTTATGTGCTCTTTGATATTTACCAAAAAGTTTGGAAACTTACATTCGCACAAATGTTGGTAGCAGCTTTACTTTGTAAATCGTGAAAACTTGAAACTAACCAAGATGTTCTTTAACAGGAAAAAATTGATGGATACACTGGTCTACATCTGAACGATGGAAAATTATTTGATAATATAAAGAAATGAGCTCTCAAGCCATAAAAAAGAAATGACAAAATGTAAATGAACTGTACTGAATAAGGGAAAACAGTCTTTTTTTGTCTTTTTTCCCCTTTTTTCTTTTTTTCTTTTTCTTTTTTCTTTTGGGTCACACATGGCAATGCTCAGGGATTACTCAGGAATTACTCCTGGTGATGCTCAGGGAACCATATGGGGTGCCTGGCCATATGGGTTTCCTGGGATCTAACACTGTTTGGCCACATGCAAGGTAAACACCATACCCATTGTACTATCGCTCTGGCCCCAGGGAAAACAATCTTAAAAGATTACATACTCTATGCATACTTAACTGTATGACATTCTGAAAAGCCAAAGCTGAGGAAGCAGTAGAGGCAAAAATCCTGGTTGTATCAGGTATTCAGAGAAAGGGAATGATGAATAGGGGAAAAACACAGTAATTTTAGGACACTAAAACTACTCTGTGTAGTAGTATAATGGTGGATACATATAAATATACATTGTTAAAACCCATAAAATGTACAA